ACGCTGCCTTTAAGGGAGGCTATTTTTCAAGATGTAATCGAAAAGGCAAAATACCTGGTTTAGCAGGCCTAGAAAACGATGGTACTGACATATTCCTCAAACGATCCTCGCGATCTGTTATTCTCACGACCTGTACATTAGCTTGAAATCAATCTGACTTGGCGAAATGCACCACAACTTACCAATGTAGGACCATTGTGTAAGCATTCCACTTCCAAAATGCCACTACCCGGTCTCTGCCGCTGTATTCGCCAAATCTGAAAAACATTTTCATTTCTTCCGCAAGACAGATCACAAAACTTCTATCTGCAACAAGAATTTTTACCTGCGAAGCTGGATCCGTCACTTCACCCCGACTTGTATCGCACTTCGCCATAATGATTTCAGGTGCACGATGCGTTACAGCCATACCGGGAAGCCCTGGACAGCAAAGAGTTCCGTCCTTAAACACTAATAATATGAAGAATATAACGAGAGTATCCCAAAAAACTGGCCCACGCACGATTGGCCCCTTTAGTTTCATAACAACTCAAACAAACCGCTGTAAACGTCCACTTTTGGAATTTATCTCGCGACGACTGTCGAGGTGTCATCATCAGTTGGAAACTCATTCGTTCCAAAACATCGAGTACCTAGGATCAAATTTGTTTTCTTCAAAAACCTCCAGATACAATAATTAAACACAAACAAACACCCAAAACTAAAGCATTCACAGATCCCTTTAAAACATACCATTCTTGTTCTAGCTCTGAATGTCATTCCTATGTTTTCGATGCATCCATCTTTACAGAGGATCCATAGCTGATTGCCGCTGCTATAGAAAATACGAAAACTGATGAATGCAAAGAATAAGTGATAAGCGACTTACTTCGCATCCACTCTGTTTTGCTTGTTCAAAATAACTTTTCCTTTTTGTAGTGTTTCAAGGACAAGTTCATTCTCTTCGGTTCTTTTCGAGATCGATGTGCTGAAAGATATACCCCTGAACAACAGCCAACCAAAAGCAATGCAAATAATTCTGCTACCCGTTAAAGGAAGACGCTAGCTGGATGTACATATGATTTTCGTAGACAAGTTGCGGTCCAATCCCCTTCACTGATGGATCGTAAACATGGCTTTTGTTCTCGTAGACCTAGAACCTTCTTTATATATAAACTAGCAGAACCTTTTGCCATAACCCCATGTATAAGACAACGAGATAGTTTGGATAAAGAAAGAAATGTAGGCCTACCACTAGCAAAATTTACAAAGATTCAATAAATTCGACAAATTGATAGATTACCTGCAGAACTATTCTCCGACTCCCATACAAGTCATCCCAAGCGTAATCTATATGACTTCGTGCTTTACAGATCGTCCTTAGGTGCTGTCCGATAGGACCTTCAGATTGTTGCTGGTATAAAACGGGCACCTACAAAAATGATCAAAAACAATATTCGGGCAGGGAAGACAACCAGAACTCACGTCAGAATGGTTTTCTATCCGAATTGGGGGAGGGTAATATTCAGCATCAGTGAAAGTAACGCAGAAAACAGCACTGTTGAGCGTTATCTCTACGCGAACGAATCTCGGTGTTTCATCAGCGTCCCTGACAAGAATGCGAAATTTTGCAATTTGTGATAACTTTACGAAAAGTGAAGCTAAAGACATGATGGACACATGGCCCATACATGGAACAGTCGGTGG